GAATTATAAGAATTTGTCATTAATTATGCAAATTAGGTCCTCATTTACATAATCTATATCCTCAGATGTTTTTCTCGTTCTCAAGTAGATGTCACAAGTGTTTCATAGTTCTATTATCGAACAAAGCAGATTTATAGAATTTCCTCATTAATTATGCAAATTAGCTCCTGATTTGCATATATATATAATTGCCATCTGATTATGTCACGCATAACTTCAAATACCTACATACCAAAAATCACGACAATACGTCAACCGGTTCTTGAGTTATCGTCCTTCAATTTTTTTTCAACAAATGCTCCTGCAGTTCCAGAACAAGGCGCTAGGGGACCCAAACTCATGTCACTTCTTTCCTACCCCAAGAGCTATCTACCAACCGAAATTCGTGACCCTAGCATGTCCAGATCATGAGATATCGAAACCGAAAGTTCAGCTGCAGTACCTAGGAAAGCCGCCAGGGGGCCCAAAATCTAATCATTTCTAGGTCTCATGAAGACCTACCCACCTACCAAGTTTCATTCCAATCCATCCACTGCTTCTCGAGTTATCGTTGCTAAACCACACACACACAAACACACACACACACACACACACACAAACGCTACTGAAAACACAACCTTCTTGGCGAAGGTAATAATTACATTTCGTGCAAAGATAACCCCATCTGTGTATATTATTGAATGATGTCATTACCTTCGCCGGCCACTTTTTGTCATCGGGGCGTTAAATCGTTCTACCCTTCCTGTGTCCAATCGGGTAAGCAAAGTAACTGACGGCAAATAATTTCTCTCTCAAAACTGAACGTAATGGTGATGTCAATACGCCTGATATCTTGCGATCGTGCGACGATAACACGACATTTGTGACCGAGTCTTAAAGTGACCCGCACGACAGAGGTACACGATTACGCATCGATCACTTTCTACCAAATGGCGTTGTCCAAATCCTTCCCAGTATTGATATAATTGAGACAACCTCAGGCGAGCATACCGTGACCTCAGTGTGAAGGAGTTTGCAATTGGATCCAGCAGGTTGTTTAAAGTTCATGTCAGGGTCAGGTCAACTCGCACGCTTCGTGAGCACATACCGACTCGAGCATAATGGCAGGTACTCGTACGTATATCTAACTTTGGGTCTTTACATATCAAGCAAACTATTTGGCAAATAGATGCACACCAGAGTGTAGTGTTTTAGGACATACATTTGTATTGGTACATAGTACATTGTATTTTAGTCTTTCGGGATTTTGTGTTTTACGGTTTTTAGACCATGTGTATGTGGTTACCTGTGGGTCACGTCCTATAGGCATGAATGTGGAATAAGATTGTGAACTGAAGCTTAAGGAATCATGTCATATTAAAGATCAACTGAAACAGTCCGCTAATGCGTTGATCACACCTCCACAGGAATGGCTAATGTCGGGACGCTGGTGAGATATTCTCTGCCTCGCTACTTGGCAGGCTTCCGAGTCTTTGTGAACTCGTTTGAGGTGAGCAGGGAAAGGTACTCTGTATCCTACGGGGTCATGGCCCCAGACTCTGTCCTGTGTGAGCCGGGGACGGACCTGCGTGTGCTGGGGATAGGCAGTGGATCAGGTGAGACCGCCATATGTTGACCTCAGCGCGGCCATCCATTATTTCTTTGATATACATGGATCTAGATCTTCAGTCAGCCGTTTACACTGATCATCCTTTTTTTCTCTCCAGGAGACATCGATAGCGCCATTTTAAAGAAGCTTCTTCAGCGCCACAACAGTGTTTACAACAGGATCGTGGAACCGTCGGGAGAAATGATCGGGCGATACAAGGTACTAAACATGTATAGCCCTTGGACAGAACTATTTATACTCCAGTTTAATTTTTATTCATCCCTTTTTCTATAGCGTGTTTACGGAAACAAATGTTGTTTCAACAAACCGTTATAAATAGCTGATCTGAATTCTAACGCAGCAACCGTGATGAGTTACTAGTATACATGCACGGGTACGAGGGTACAAAACTTGACGTGTAGTTTAAATGATCCGATGTGAAGTCTTCCCTACCACTTTTAAGCAGTAAAAGGTGACCCTCGTCTTGTGCACCGCAGTTCACGAAAAACGTACTTCCAAGGAGCAAACATTGTTTCATTACATATAACTTCAAGATAATAAAACCTCAGGTCACTGTAAATCACGTAGGCACTGGTGCGCGACGACACGAGCCTCGGTGCTGTGAAGTGTGATTGGCGCCAGCAGACAGCAGAGGAGTACTTCCAGACAAAGGGAGACACAAAGTTCCATCTGGTCCATGGGGTCCACGTTCTGTACAATGTGGAAGACATGCATGCCACCTTGCGAAACATGTGGGAACAAGTTACAGACGGCGGGTACATGATGGTCGCCTTGGAATCAGGTGAGCTAGAAAAACGCCTTTCCGCCCCTAAAGGACAAGAACTACCAGAGTTACGTCTATCATTCTTTATTCTATTTTATTCGCCTTTAATTTATCACGGAAGTTGTTTCCTATTGCGTTGCATTAAATCACATGTGACGTCTTAAAGCTTTCTCGGATAATTGAATATATTCAAAGTTGGTCTGATGTCCTTTCTTAACTATCAGCAATCAATCGACAACATGGAAAATACTGACTAGAAAACAACTTGCAATGAAATGAATTATTCTTTCACATGAGAACTAATTACCACTAACTGTATTATATACCTGTGACTGGACCTCTCCTTAGTGCTGAACTGGTTATCACTAACTATTACATACCTGTGACTGGACCTCTCCTTAGTGCTGAACTGGTTATCACTAACTATTACATACCTGTGACTGGACCTCTCCTTAGTGCTGAACTGGTTATCACTAACTATTATATACCTGTGACAGGACCTCTCCTTAGTGCTGAACTGGTTATCACTAACTAATACATACCTGTGACAGGACCTCTCCTTAGTGCTGAACTGGTTATCACTAACTATTATATACCTGTGGCTGGACCTCTCCTTAGTGCCGAACTGGTTATCACTAACTAATACATACCTGTGACTGGACCTCTCCTTAGTGCTGAACTGGTTATCACTAACTATTATATACCTGTGACAGGACCTCTCCTTAGTGCTGAACTGGTTATCACTAACTAATACATACCTGTGACTGGACCTCTCCTTAGTGCTGAACTGGTTATCACTAACTATTATATACCTGTGACTGGACCTCTCCTTAGTGCTGAACTGGTTATCACTAACTATTACATACCTGTTACAGGACCTCTCCTTAGTGCTGAACTGGTTATCACTAACTATTACATACCTGTTACAGGACCTCTCCTTAGTGCTGAACTGGTTATCACTAACTATTACATAGCTGTAACTGGACCTTTCCTTAGTGCTGAACTGGTTATCACTAACTATTACATACCTGTGACTGGACCTCTCCTTAGTGCTGAACTGGTTATCACTAACTATTACATACCTGTGACAGGACCTCTCCTTAGTGCTGAACTGGTTATCACTAACTATTACATACCTGTGACTGGACCTCTCCTTAGTGCTGAACTGGTTATCACTAACTATTACATACCTGTGACAGGACCTCTCCTTAGTGCTGAACTGGCCATCACTCATTAATACATACTGCGCTAAACTAAAATAATAAAACGGGTTTATAAACTCTATTTTTCACAGACAAAAGTGAGCAGGGAAAGCTGTATCACAAGTTGTGGGATGAGTTCGGCCAGGGTGACCGTTTGAAGACGTCGTTCCGTACGTCCGGTGACGTCAGACAGTGGTTTGACGCAAGGGGCATCAGTTACGTCACCTCGGAGGATGAACTCAACATCAACGTCACTGAGTGTTTTAAGGAGGACTCGGAGACCGGGAAGTCTCTTCTGGAGTTCTTGACGTTCACGCCTTTTGTATCTAAGAAGCCAGAAATTCGGTCAACTGCGTTAGAATTCATCCACAGCAAGTCGTCGGTGGTTGATGATAAAATCTGGTTCGAATTAATCGACGAAATAATTGTCGCCTTCAAAATGAGTCCAGGAAAAAGTAACCCCGTGTAGCAGGGTAGCATTTCAGATACACAAATGGACCGCTTCTGCATACATAGCCAACCAGACATTTGAGAATTGAAAGAAATATATGTGTATGACATGTATAGGACATGACATGATATGCCATTGTACAACAATGTGATATTAGCAGGTACTATATAAGGAACGTTAAAAGGCAGGGACTGAGAAAAGTTCTCCTACTACTAGCCTTTCTATGGATTTGGGCTCAGCTGTTTGTTCACGCGCCGATCAATATCTTTGCAGATGTATTTTTTTTCAAATCTTCATCTCAAAAGTCGCTAAGGGGGAAATTACGCAAAGGTTTCGTTCGTTTATTCGTTTATTTCGATACCCATTAGTCCATGAGGACTAATCTTCCAGGGTTCAAAAACATATTAAAGAAAACATACTGACGACACAATAAAAGAGAATGAACATACATAATCATCACAAATTATATACAGGTTAAACAATAGCGTAACTTAATATATACAATTTAACTTATGTATATGTACAACTGGTGGATGGCCTTTTTGAATTGATGCGGACTGGTTAGTGTTTTGATACTGGGTGTTCCATAGATTAATAGCGCGGTAGAGAAATGTTCGCATTTTGCTGTTTGTTTTTGGTTTAGGTAGTTTGAAACTGCAAGTATTGGCAAATCTTGTTGAATACTTGTGGGTAGAATGGACGGGAACAATGGAACTGTAGATGTTTTGGGGTTCATGACTGTTAAGAATTCTGAAAAACATATTTAAAGTACTGGTAGCGAACCTCTCTCTGACCGTCAGTCAACCCAGATCCGAGTGCATTTGCTTGACAGGTGTGTCTAGTGAGCATTTCAAAATCAATCTGCATGCCCTGTTCTTACCAGTGTTCGACTCCGAACTGGTAGACAGTATTGTGCCACAGATAGGACCAGAGCACATACAACCATTTTACAGATTTCCTGTGACATAGCCCATGCGTGTCTTCTCAAAAGGGCGATGTTCTTGGATTGTTTGGAAACAACATCGATCTTGTATCTTTATGTTAGGATACATTCGTATTCTTAGGATACACAAGGACAGAGCTGGTCTGCGCACGTGTACTCCACTTTTGAAAAATAACAGGCTAATATTAGCAGCTGCTAAGTTCCCCACTTCAGGGAGCGGCGAATAGAAGATCGGATATATTACTAGAAAGGCCAATATTTGCTTTGGAGCAAATACAGCGATGGGTTCACCACATTTTACGACATGGCAGGGAAAGAATGAGAAACACAAGGGAAAACAATGATTTACATTGATATAACTATAATATGAAGTAACATACAACTAAAACAACAGTTGGATAGCTATTCCCTACTTTATTGGTTAGGATTTTTAATTGCATAATGCAAACTGTTGATTTTCAAAAAAAAAAAAAAAGTTACATGCCCGCATTCCAATGCTGGAGCAGAAAAGCTTGAATACCTACCAAAACACTTGAATAAAGACATACTGTCAGTATGGAAATGCTCTGTGCAGGTGTTAATCAAGTTAAATCCCAACAGCCAATCAGCAAGAAATGCTCTGTGCAGGTGGAAATGCTCTGTGCAGGTGTTAATCAAG